GTCCGTGATTGAAACAGAAGCTTGGCAACGAGCTCATTGCAATATTTTAAGACCAAAAAACACTAGTCACAATAATTTTGTGCAGTTGCTAAACCTGAGAGACTTACATTGATTTTTTTCGTGTGTAAGTTAAAAGTGTGTTGATATAGCTGATCTCGAAAAATGGCGACGAGAATCCCTATCAACAAGGACAATTATAATTTTGACGACAGACAGAAAAAAATCTGGGAAGATATGGAACGAGATATGGAGAGACGAAGAAGGTATTTATTTGAAAACTTGCTTTCCGGATAATTAAAGGCCTAATTTTTCTTTTCATTTGCTTATTTTGTATTACAAATTGTGCCTTAAGTTTTAATTATTGTAAGTTTTGTGTTGTTTTTTTTAAAATATTGTTTTGTATTTATGTACGTTTTCTCGACATCTTTGGTAATGATTTTCATTTTGCGTTGGTTTTTACATTTAGGTTTGTCAAAATTCTTTCTAATTAATTTAACAGTATTGTTATAATAAGTATTTCTGGGTACTTACTGATGAAATAAATAGCCTATTCTGATCACGTTATAATATATACAGCGGCTTATTTATAAGATTCTAACTGGTTACAAAACAGTTTTAATCGAGGCAAAATAGAATCCTCTTTTCTCCCAAATAATGCAATACTGTAATTTTAAAAAAGTGTGCTTTCTTTTAAATGTGGCTACATAACATATTAATTTTGTATTCAAAGTCGTCTCACTCAATCAATGTTAAAGCCTGATTAAATTATATTGTGAGGGAGTAAATGGACTTTCCAGAGCACGATTGTATTTTAAGTTAAGTTAACTGGGATCAGGGTTGGCCCAGAAACGGTCTATGCTTGTGCTATATTACGTGCAACAATAAAACCACCCAAAGAGCTACAATACTGGGGATATGCAGGCGCATAAATAATAAACAGTTCACAACACTATGTAGGCCTACACCTACAGAGAACAACTGGAATATAAACGTAATCTCTAAATTTCTTCATAAAGGTCATAAGACCAATAGCATATAAAAATGAATCTTTATATACAAACATAGACATTATATATATATATATATATATATATATATATATATATATATATATATATATATATATATATATATATATATATATATATATATAATATATGTGTGTGAGTGTGTGTACATTGTATATATATATACATATATATATACATTTACATGTATATATATGTGTGTATATACATAAATACACACATATATATATATATATATATATATATATATACATTTATATATACATGCATATATATATATATATATATATATATATATATATATATATATATATATATATATATATATATATATATATATATATATATATATATATATATATACAAAAAACCTACACACATATAGAAGTGTGTACCCACAAAGCTAAGGAGAACATACGGTGGAGGTCAAACTAATCTGAATAAGCCATTGTTTTATTTTTTTTTTATAAACACACCCGATTGAGCTAAGAACGGTAGATGGCGTGGGCAGGGGTGTGATACTCTGAGCATTGGGTTTGATTGAGAGATAACCGTGGAAGATAACTCTGTCTTGAGTTGTCTTTCCCTGCGCTCAACATGATGTTGGGCCGCATATGTAAATATAAACAGCGCCCTTGTGTTAATGTAGTCAGTGTGTAGCGTAACTGTGCAGAACAATTTGAATGGTACCCTTGAATGCAGGTAGGTAAATACGGCCCCCACTGTGTAGCTCGTGACCTTTCAACTGACATTTGCCAGGGTGTTTAAAGGTAAATGTTCAAAGAGCAAACACAGCAGACGCGAAGGGTTTGGAGGGGGGGGGGGGGAGAATGTATTGGGGGAATAATTTTTTTTCTCTTCGCTGTCACCGAAACTATATATTATTTATAACGTTTTACAGAGATATTAAAATTGTTAAAACGTGTGGTTTTTTTTTTATAAAAAAGAATATTTTTTATAGTCATATTTTTTTAGGTTGCTTGAATTTGCTTCGTATGGAGTTATTGGAATAAACTGTTTAATAGTTTCCCTTCAATAACCATTTGAAGTCAACGTTGGTATTTTATATTTGTTACATTATTTATATGCTGTGTGTGTGTGGTGGGGGGGGGGGTGCAAATTGTAGAACAAGTACATTGCACCAATTTGCATTTTTGTTTCTTTCAGTCATGTTTTTTTTTGGGGGGGGGGGGCACTTACTCTCTTCAACCAGTGCATCCCCCCCTTCCTCGGAAGTTTTCAGTGCCCCTTTCACCGGGGATGGAAATACAAAATGTCTGAAAGAAACCCCGAATTACACATTAAGAGAGTAAAAAAAATGATCCACCTGTTCGCCATACCTACATATGTGGAAGATGAGGTTGATCACCGCCAACGTAAACTATACACGTATTAGAATCGTCAAGTTCTTAGCAGCCACTTACCTGCCGTACCTGGCCAAACTAGTGTAGATCTAATAACATGTAGACACCGTCCTTCAGATCATTGCCAGTTTGACCCCTATTTGAACTCAGATTATTTACTTAAGCGATGGCGTGCTACGTTCTCGCGAATGAAATTTGAAGATGATTATCGAATGCTGGTATTCAAAATGTAACTAATTATTATTTAATTCTTCTTGCAAAAAAATTTGAACACACAAATTGTCATTTTATAAAAGCATGAGTTGTCTACCTTATAAAATCTAAAATTAAGATACCTAGTAATTATTGGGTCTGAATATTACTCTTCCTCCCCTGACAATAAACCCCCGTTAAATTAAAAATACATATTATAACTATAACAAATCATATCCATCTCACTAGCCACGACCTTATCCTATCCCTAACACTACCTCAATCCAAAAACTCCTAACTTAACCTATACTTATCTCTTTCTCTAACAGAACTGAGGAAAGGCGGATTAGCCTGCTCCTGTAATTAAACTATATTATGTTTAAAATAATCAATATAATATTTTTACTTTTTATTGTTAGCCTACAGTTTTTTTTTTCAAAATTGTTAACTATTGTGCAGCCCAACTCCTCCTTTGCCATTTTAAATTAAATTTGTAATTAATCATGAGCGTTAAGTAATTTAATTTTTTTTACACTTAACTGGCATTCGCGCTAATGGCACGATGCTTCTTGGCATTCCTCCCTAACGCTAACCATTTAATTAAACTACACAGTTTAAATTTTAAAATTATTTTAAAAATAAGAATCCTATCTTTTTAAACATTTTTTCCCCAAATATAAGTTAAGTTAAGCCACAACACACACAGAAAAATCCAACAAAACCAGTTTAGTTTAAGTTTAGTCGTCATGCAGTCGCCGTTAAAACCAATTTAAATAAATAACTGTCAAGTCTATCCTGTTTTGGAATTAGACGCTAACATTTAACTGGCCACTTACAGGCCGACTTGTTGCATTGCTGAGATTTGAAAACAGTAGATTCTCTAGATCTGGATCTACACAACTGTCATTTGGTCATAAAAGAAAATGTATTACTTTAAAAATACAGATTAACTAGCATAACATAATCAGAAACTATCTAAAACTCCTCAACAATAAAAAATAAACCGGGAGTGATCTCCCCTAAACTTTCTCGAATATTTTAATATAAAATAACAGGGGATGGGAACTCGGGTTATAGACATGATTTTTAATCCATTTTAAATACTTAAAGTTTTAAAAATAGAATAAAATCTCGTAGACAAAAGAATTGCACACCGAGTGAACGCTAAATAAAAAAGTGCATATTAGTGCGCAATATTATTAGTACTTTAAAAATTTACATTTTGAGAAATCGGAAGTAGCGTAAATTACTACTTCCGGTCAACGGAAATTACTCAAAATTGAACAGAAGGTAGAGAATTAGATCTTTTACTTACAATTAAAATTTCATTTATCTATCTGAAATAGTACTCAAGTTATAGGCTTTTGAAAAATTCAAAGTAGGAGAAGTACCACTTCCGGTTATCGGAAATCGCTCAAAACTTGTTACGGATCTACGATTTTGATAAAATACTTATATATGAAATTTCATCAACCTAGCTGTAACGGTACTCAAGTTATCGAGTTTATACACGGACAGACAGACAGACAGACAGACATACGGACAAGATTGCAAAATTATGTTTTTCCGTATCAGTGAGGTGTAAAACGTCGAGATTTGTAAAAATCTCGATTTTTTTTTTGCACGATTACAAGACTTTCTCTATACTTCGTATATACGAGAAAGTAAAAAACACCCAATGATAATGGTCAGTCTTTATTTTTAATTTTTTTTTTATTAATACAACGTAATAATAAATAAACACTAGCGAAAGGTCAAAGGCTAAAAGTCAAGTTAGCCCAGCTCTAGCAGACAAACGAAAGAGACTGAAAACTACAGTGATCCCGCTTGGTCTAGCCATAAATTGTAAATGAGACTTATCATCACAGGCAATTATATGCTAATAATGTTTTGTTTTGTTTCTCAGAGAACCGTTATCCTGGTCTAGTCGTGGGAGGTTTGTATAAACTGGGAAATTACGCATTTTTTAGCAGCTGGCTTGCTAGGTGTATACTGCTACTGTAGCATGAGTAATTTTATATAGGTCACTTCTGCAATGAAGTCCCATAAATTATGATCCAAATTAAATTAAAAAAAAATTCTTTAAATTCTGTTGCAGTTTATGGACTTTTGTTTTAAAACTATCTGGATATTACACAGCAGTTCTAAAAATTGTTCCAGACATTTAAAAAAAAACTATTATTGTATACCCAGCCACAGCACTGTGCTCATCTGCTTTAGCCATCATGTAGACTTCCAGGGAAAGGTAGGGAAGGGGGTATTCTAGATCCTGCTAAAGACAATGTAATTGCCGTGTAGAACACTATACATTTGGTTGTTGGCCAAGTTTTTTTTTTTGTTTTTTCCTTCACTGAGACTAACTAAAGCTTATACCAGTCTCATAATATAGATATTGGACATAGATCTAGATGCAACTGACTAAAACAAGTCTATGAGTTAATTCCCTTTAAAAAAAATTAAATCTCTGTTAAACTGTTTTGAAACTGAAGATACATCCAAGCAATTTGGTTAAGAATAACACTGCTCAATTAAATGTTCTAGGACTGAAGATGTATTCAAGTAATTTGGTTAAGAATAACACAGTTCAATTAAATGTTCTAGGGCTTATACAGTTTTAAACAATGAACTTTACATTCAGCTCAGGTTTATTATTAATGTTTGTGAAATAATTGTTTTTAATTGTAGCTTTATCTTCACCCACCCATTTAATATTTAAATGGGTTTGTGGGTTATAAATATAAATAGTTCATTTAAAAAGGAGTTGATACAAATAAAATTGATCTGCTTGATATGATAAACTTATTTAATGTCACTACATAGTTGTTCATTAAAGAGTTGATAGATGTCATTTGTTTATCAAGTCCAGTGGTTGGGAGTCCGGGTATATTTTTCCATCTTCAAGTACTTCAAAGCAGTAAATGTATAGCCAGAAAAAAATAATTGAAATTAGATCCCTTTGAGTAATGATATTTTCTATTAGGAAAGTTATTTTTAAATAATGAACTCTTGCTAACTGTAATGGTCCTAATGTTCACTGTATGTTGCTTTAAATACTACTAACATCAATTTATAAAAGAAGAGGTGTTGTTGCTTAAGCTCCCCAGCATGATTTATACTTTTTTTTTAGAACTTGCCAGAAACTTTTGTTGTTATTAAAATACTTCCTGTTCCTGTTTATATTATATGAGACTTGGAAATTAATTTAAAAAAAAAAATCAAATTTGTCTATTCAGTAAGATTATTGTATGTTTCTTTTAAAACTTTAAAAAGGTATTCCTCTTTCCTGTGCTATTTAATTAGCCGTCAAATAAAAAATAATAAACTTTTCTTTTTGTAAAAAAAATAAAAATAATAGCACAATGTAGACTGTTTCCTCTAGAGATAAATGCTTTCAATGTTTAACACTTACCTTATTGCATTTTGTTTATCCTTTTTTTTCCCTTTTTTTTTGCTAGTAGTATATAATTATATTCATTAAATTGTAGGAAAGAAATCTGTTAAAATAAATAAATAGGTAGCCTGCTAATTTATTTTCCAAAAATAGAAAAATACTTATAATTTAAAAATAAAATGTTTTTTTTGTTGATTTTCTTTTATCAGAATAAATCATCATAATTAGTTTGAAATCTGTTTATACTTTCTTATTTACAATGAAGTCAATGATATAAAAGATAATAGCAGCTATACATTTTTATCACAAACAACATATATTTGTTATTCTGTTAGAATTTTGTTTAATTTTAGAACTGTATTTACCTGAGTACCTTAGCAAAATAATTTATGTTTGATCTTTATCATATTTATAAAAAAACTACTTTACACTCTGGAAACCTGTAGAGATTTTTAAAAAACTCTGCATGTGGAAGTCATTGACCTTTGACGATCTCTGGGGAAAAAACATTTCCCCTTCCTATTTATTTTAAAGTGTTACATTTAAATGTTTAAAAATGCGCTCTTTATCTCTAAATGTTTTTTGAATTTCGTATTTTCAGGGAATGGGAGGATGAAATTGATAAAATGAGGAAAGAATTTTTTCATCTTCGCCCGGAAAGTTCAGACTTTGGACTAGAAGGTACAGGATCACCTGTTCGACTGCCTGGCCAGATTTCTAGTCGCGTCACTGACACTGACGACGGGAAGGCTGTTATAGAAAAGGACGATAATGGGCAACCAGTGTTTAGGGTTAGTCCATTGATTTTTTTTTATGTAACATATGGTTTGTCATTATTTAATATTGATAGCTTAAATTTTTTATTAATCTCTTAAGTGTACATACTATTTCCTACTGAAGTAGTTTTTAAATAGTACAATATAAAGTAAATTTTCTGTGACGGAAGGTGTAGTAGTTGATAAAGAAAGTTGTAAAAATAAAATAATGATTGTTAGATTTACTTATGTTATCAAAACATTGTTGATACAGCTTTGCATAAATCATACTTACCAGTCAACATTTATAGAACTTAACTCATAACTAACTTCTAAATATGAAAAACAATTCTTTCTAAGTAATTTTAATCTTAGCTTTTTATTAAATTAAACATTTATTATTTTATTATCGATGATTACTGGACATTTCTCTTTAACACAACACTGAGTTTTTTTATGATGTTTTTAGTTTAGTGTAATTTCTAAAAATGGCATTTATAAATATGTATTTGTAAAATGTATTAAAAGTTGTTTTATCAATCTAATTTGCAGGTTAGGTTCAACATGAAAGAGTACAAGCCAGAAGAGGTGAACGTCAAGATGGACTCCACTAAAATAATGGTATCAGCTAGGCATGAAGAAAAGGGTAGCGGATCTACAGTGAGTAGAGAATATAGCCGGGAAGTCCAAATACCGAGAGATGTCGACCCTCTGGCTCTACAGTGCACCTTAAACCCTGACGGTTACCTGGTTGTTCATGCACCACTGCCTGCACCGAACTACAGCGCTATCAAGGATACATCCCGAGATTCCAATGCTTCCCCAAACGTTATGAAATCTACATCTAGTTATCAAACCTCGTCAACAGTTTCATCCAAACCTCAGTCTACAATCATCACCGATGTCCCAGCAGGTTTTACCCAAGAACTGCCGCAGACCCGCGGTCACCTATCCAGTCAGCTTAACACCCAACCTCGGAACAAACCACCCCCGACGTTCACCCCGCCCTCTATGTTTAAACACGAAGAGCTACTCAGCCACCCCGATCATGTGACGCCGAGTTTTAAACCCCCTCCCGATTTAAGCAAGCTGGATATGCTAGAGAACAACCAGCCCAGGCTTATCAACCACCCGCTTCACTCTGTTCCCCCTTCTCACCTCTCCAACTCAACATTCTCCAAACCTCCGTTCAACACCCTAAGTTCAACTTTTCCGTCGGGTTCTCTGTTCTCCGAGCCTTCCAGCCAAGCGCAGTTGAGTGCCCCGGTCGTGACCTCCCATGATGGGAAGTTCCAGTTGACAATGCCTATCGATGAGTTTCGGCCAGAGGAACTGACAGTCAAGACGCAAGATTGCAAGGTTATCATCTGTGCTAAAAGGGAGGTAAGCACTGGCAACAGAGCTCAGACCATGGAAATGACAAGGGAGCACAGCCTACCTGATAATGTGGATCCCCTTACTGTCAAGGCTTTTTTCACGGACACTAACAATCTTATCGTTGAGGCCCCTTTTATCAGAAGCTGAAATAAGAAATGTTTAAAAAAATATGAGTGATTTAGTTTTTAAAAAAAATCATGTTTTAGAGAATAATCGACAATTTTTAATAATATAAAAAGTTGGTTGTCATTTCATTTTTTAAAATCTTATAATAACTACCATTAACTAAGTTTGAGAAAAAATTTACAAGTTTATAGTTTTTTATTTTATAAAATGTAATAGTTACACAATTTTTGAAATACACATAATTTTAAAAAATGGAGCTTTACATTACAGGTGCTAAGTACTATGTGATATTTACTGTTACATTTGTAATTTTTTTTCCTATGTAGGTAGTTGTGATAGGATTGATGTAGTGATATTATGTATCGCTCGTTAAGACCAGCAAAAGTAATTTGCATAAATATTGCTAATATCTTGATGTTAAAATAACCAAGTACCTAATGGTTTTTTTTTGCTTACATATGTGTCACAAGAAAGGCCTTTGTTTAAATTCTCAGAGGCTATGCCAGATTTGTGTTGAGATGTTTAAAAATCTATTTCTTTATGCATATTTAAATATATGGTTGTCATATTTAAATAGTAGAGTATGACTTACTAGTTCAAATATGTAACTAATTAATTAGGATATTTTTAGCCAAATAATAAAATAGTAGAAACTGCATTGGAATAACAATTTTGTACTGTCATCAAACAAATGTTTCAAATATAATGAAAAAGAGAGCAGTAGAGAATTTAAAAAAAAAAATAACAAACAAAATAAACTAATCTTCTTCAAATATCTAAATGTTTTTACTTAAAAACTACATTGTTTTCCATTTAACTAATAGAAGGTTCACAATAATCGATTAATGTCAAGAGCCTTATTTGGTTCTTAAACTCATGTACAGGGTATTAAATATTGTCGTGTATGAAATTTTCTTTATACTTGCGAAAAAGTTTAATTTCATGAAACTTTTTTTTTATATGCTGTGCAGTGACTCTGTTTACTGGTTTTTATTCAGTTTTGGTGGTTTTGTAATTACTTTTTGGACAATATGCAAATTTCCTTTGTCCATACACAGGGTCAAATAATTATGTTTTCCCCTCTTTTTTAAATAAATGTAGACTTTTTTCAACCATACAACTGCTTAACCTGTATTATTTATTTATCTTTATATGCATTTTAAAGCTCTGACTATAGTATTTTATTATTATTTATATCATGACATGTTGTATTTTCAGCATGGATTTTTTTAAATTTCTGAACATCTCTTTGATCATGTAGCGAATGTCTTATGAATATTTAACTCAGGGGTTCTTATCTTTTTTGTTCATGGACCCCCTTTGTCAGTCAGTTATAAAAAAAATAAAAAATGTTCATGAATAAGAAAAAGAAGCTTGGCTATTTTCATTTAAAAAATGAACAGGCCTCATTTTTGGTGAATTGTTTATAAACAATTATATTTTATTAAAAAATATATTTTATGAATGTTTATAAATAAAATACATTTAATTTTAAAAAGTAATTTGATCTGTCACCAACTAGTTCTATTATACGTAATAAAATAAAATTTAGTTGTTTTTTTTTTTAAATGTTTACTGACTCACAGTTTAACAATGAACAAGGGGTATGAATGTCTTGAGAACCCCTGATTTAACTTACACTTGAGAAAAATAAAATCATCTGCCCTATAGCATAAGAAAGTGAGTTGTGTGCCTGTTGTGTTGGTCTATGTTAAGTTAGATACATGTGTATTACAATACCAGTGTATATTTATTATTTTAACCTTGTCACGTTAACTATGTTTGCATGATGTCATGTAATGTAAAGCAGTCTCATAACGATTGGGTTATTTTGAATAAAACAGACATTTAACTCATTTAAGTTATCAATTAAATCTTTAAAAAAATCAATATTGTCTTTGTTGAGTTTATATTATAAATGAGATTGATAATTGATTCATGCCTTTTTAGCAAAAGCCTATGGTTGTCATTTGTTGGTGCAATGTTTACTAGACATCAATGATAATATTGTGTTTAGTCCTAATTAGGTTCGGCTGTCAGTTACAAAACAAAAGAATACTTAGTAGCAGTATATTAAGAGGTAGGCATGATCTAGCAGTAGAACATGTGCTAGGCTAGCTAACCCAAGTTTGAAACAGCAGTGTTTCTTCCAGACATTTTTCTCCGGGGGGGGGGGCGGACACTGTTAAAAGTATATATTCTCTATATAAATTCCATTTTGTTAGGGGGGGGGGGTGATAGACAGTGTTTCTTCCAGACTTTTTTCTCCAGGGGGGGGGGGTGGGGGGCGGTCAACATTTTTCGGGAGGGCGGACACTAGTAAAAGTTTGTTTACTTTATAAAAGCCATCTCGTTCGGGGGGGGGGGCGGTAGACTTTCTTCGCCCCCCCCCCCCCCCCCCCCCCCATAGAGATGTCTGGAAGAAACTCTGGTGGTAGACAGTCTTCCCTGAAGAGATGCCTGGAAGAAACTCTGTGAAACAGGGGTTTTAAAAACGACTAGTAGATACGCCCCTGAACGAGTAGACTGTTACGTATTTTTTATAACAACGTCTGCTATTTATGGAATGAAGTAAAACAAAAACAGCGAGCACTGCTATTTTATTTTAATATAAGAAGTCTTCGGCGCCACAGTGAAATACAGAGTAACATACCAAGGCCGATAACTGTTGATTTAAAGAATCTTTTTGTCTGTTACTAGTTGAAGGGCGAAACCCGGCATTTTATAAATATCTGAAGTTGGTCGGCAAACTACATATCCTAGGTTTTCTATAGAAAAAAAAAATAGAACCAGTTAAGCCCTCACACAATTTTTTTCAATATTTGGTAGAGAGTGTTATTTCAATTTTCCAAATGATCAAGAGGTACGGAATATAAATAGTGAAGCATAGCGCTTTGTTAACACGAAAACAAACACATTACTGAGAATTCGGTGCAAAAGCAAAACACAAAACAAGGTATCAACGCTTAAAGTACAATGAGGACTACAACGATACACACACTCGCAGAAATTTCGTTCTAAACCAGATATTACCTTTGTTTGTTTTTGTCATTTTTTTATATTTTTATTTATTTTTGGAAATTAAAATTTATTTTAGAGCATATTTGTTTACTTCTGCATGTCTTCGTTCGTTTTATACAAGCTGTTGTTAAACCTCTCCCCAATATTGATTTTTTAAACTTTGCCTACAAATGTTTGTCACTAGGTAAAAAAATGTAATAAAAATTCGATACATATAGCTGACATATGTCTTTCATTTATTGCCACATAACTTCATTTTAAAACAGTGATCCTTAACCTGGGTTCAATCAGGCCCCATGGGTTCGGTGAGTCAGTGAGTCAGTCTCAGGGGTTCAAGACATACACCTGACTCATTTTATTCACGATCTGATACTAGAACTATTAAAAAGTGTTCGTTGAATGAAATTGGTGGGGTTCGGTACCTCCAAAAGAACTTGAAAGTTACAAAGTATACATTTTTATTGCAATGAAAAAAAACATATTTAAAACAAACCGAAGTAACGGAATACAATCGCAATCAAATTTCTAACATAACTTTTTAATGTGGAAATGGAGTCGTAGGAGGGGAGGGCGGGCGGGGCAGTCTAGTGGTGCCGCAAAAGCGGGGTAGAAAAAAAATTATGATGTACATGCTGCAGAACTTAATTATCCAATCGAGGTTAAGAAAATATCCCGTTAATTGGCTTAAATAACTTCTTTGACCGTTTTCTACTGTTTCTACATCAATTGTGTGATATCATAATATTAAAAAAAAATTGAAAGTGACTGGTGAACGCGCCCCGACCTTTTCAAATATCTATATATTTAAATGACGGGATGGGGGTAGGGGTCGCATATATAATAGTTAATCCCGGGCACCGGGATATGTCACCACGCCTCTGTATGCAATGGTATGTGGTAACACTTTACATAAAGAACCCTCTCCCCCTCATCATACATAAAATTACAAAACTCCCCTCCTTATTAGCAGAGGTTCTTCCAGGCATCTCTTCGGGGGGGGGGGGGGGGACACTGAGCCCCCCCTCCCCCCGAAGAAAGTCTACAGCCCCCCCCCCGAACGAGATGGATTTTATATAGTAAACATACACTTTTACTAGTGCCCCCCCCCCCCCGAAAACTGTTGACCCCCCCCCCTCCCCTCCCCGAAAATTTCATTGCCCCCCCCCCCCGGTGAAAAAAGTCTGGAAGAAACACTGCAAATTAGGAGTTTGGCTTTGTTTATGGACGGTCCTTTATACATACTTGTAAAAAACAAAAACAAACCACGTCATCATCTGTAAGTACAGCTCACAAGCCAGATACAGAACAAAAACTCATAAAGTGGGGTGGTGTGGGTAGATACATTAGACCCACGTGCATAAATCACATTAACTCACGAACACACACCAGACAGATGGGACCGACGCGCCAATCTTCCCCGATCGATAAACGATAGGTCACGTGGGCCGTCAGCAAACTATTGTCTAAATTTAGATTCTATTCCAAAACTTAGATATAAAGTTCATATTGAAGATAAGACCAGAATCATGTGGACAGAAATATTAATGGAAATATACAAGAAAAACAAAGTTGTTTCATACTTCAGAACAGTTATTCCAGGATGAAATACACACACACACACACACACACACACACACACACACATATATATATATATATATATATATATATATATATATATATATATATATATATATATATATATATATATATATATATATATATATATATATATATATATATATATATATATAATCCTAGAATATATATGTATATATGTATATATATATACGCTATATATACGAATCTATACCTATATATATATACCTATATATATATATATATATATAGGGGGGCCTATATATATATATATATATATATATATATATATATATATATATATATTCATATTTAGATGAACATGTATATATGAATAAATATTCATATGAACATATATATGTGTATGTGGGTGTGTGGGTGTGGGTGTTAATATATATCATAAATATTGAAGTACCCTCTCTCCACACTCATACTTAATAAACATATTTTAACATAATCCCATCTCTCTTCCACTGTCCCTGCTTGTTAAACAGAAAAACCACTTTACAACTTTTAAATTCATCAGCCTTTATGTTTTTCCCCAAATCCTTATTTGATTCCTGTCCCCGTAAGTGAGAGTTTCGTTTATTGTATTCATCACACCCGTACATAATCGATCGGTTATGACAAGTACTGGGGACAAACAACCAAAGTTCTTTTCACAGTAAACGCCCGGCATTACCCTTTAGGCATGGCCTAGATCGTCTTATCAAAGTGTCTTGAAGTGTCTATAGCGCTTGGAACATGAATGCTGTGCCCATGCAGTAAACCAAATAAAACACCCACTACCTTGGTAAAAGCTTACGGGTAGTTACATAACTACTTCATGAACATTGAGTACGTTAAGTTTTATGTTATGAAAACTGGTATGGTGTATTGAAGTTATTTGTTTTCTTTTAGAACCGCTACCGTAACCCTGATTTAAACAGCAACAATAACCTTAACGTTAATCATGGCCCTACTCCTGACCCTAATTCTAATCAGCGATACCGGTTTTAAAAAGGAAAACTCGATACGATACTGATTTTACCTTGCTTGTGATATGGACTTTACGGTTTATTTTTTTTTATAGCGATTTCTAAAGATAGGTTGAGTCATATTGGATTTTTTTTTATGGAGACAAAACTAGACGAAATACTTTCATCGTATTTCAGTAGAGATCAACGTATCATCTATTTTATATAGCTGTTCGTAAATCTTTTAAAAATAATTTCATTGTTTGTTTTATATGGCGATATAATCTACATCGTAGGGAGCCTTCTAAAAATCAAGGTAAGTATTTACATTATTGGTGTTGTCAGAAACGTATCATCGATTAATTTAGGGTCAGAGCTAGCCGATTATATTTAAGTGTGTATTCAATAGCTTTGCTGGACTGTACCGTAACATTGTAAAAGTGGGGGGGGGGGGTCGTTCATATAGAAATTTAGAAGACGGGTGCTGATGTAAGACCTTTAAGGCTTATATACATTTGCAGCTCGTCTTTTTAAGTGTATGTATTTATGTGCGTGTGTGTCTGTGAATGTTAGGTGTTATATATATATATATATATATATATATATATATATATATATATATATATATATATATATATATATATATATCGGCTATATATATTTATATGTGTGTATATATAGGCTATATGTATAATATATTATATATATAGGCTATATTTATATACAATATATATCGGCTATATATGTGTATTTATATAGATAAAGATGCATGTATGAACATATATTTACATAAACATATAGTAAAAACAGTCTAGTATATTAAAACATTAGCCTGAATTTAAAAAAATACCTTTTTTAAAGTTATGTTATTACATGGGTTGATCAAATCTACACAACCATTATATCTGTCTATGCCTTCACACGAAAAGAAAAATATTTTATATAAAAATATTTGTTTTAACCGGTGTCCGACTTCTTAAGAGTGCCCGCCCCCTTTCCCGAAGGTTTCAAGTTTCTAGTTCCTCTGTAGAGAAAAATATCTAAAAGAAATACTGTGGTCGTACATTTTCGTCCAGATGTATTACCTGAACCTCTTTATGTGACATCGACTCATGTTAGCATATGAAGGAATGTGTGGTCAGCGCTATATGACTAGCCGCCTTTATCTTTCCTGGCGTGAGTCGGGTACCGATTAGAGCTGGGTGGACTCAGTGAAGTCGTGCTGGGATCCGAACTCGAAACTTTAGGGTTTGTAGTCGTGCGCTCCACTGTTCGAACACGGAACGTCACCAAGTAAAAAAAAAAAAAAACTTAACCCCGAAGCTCCAATGCAAAAACGGTTTCTCTGTACCAGTAGCGTAAGCAGGGGTATAACAACCTGAAGTTTAAACGTGTTGTATTGACACTTGGATATAAAGTTACTCTTACAAGCTGATTTTTTTTTTTGCGCATGTCTGCGTCCTTTATACACCAACCAGTTTTAGGTAATTTTGTGTGTGTGTGTGTGTGTGTGTCTGTGTGTGTGTGTCTGTGTGTGTGTGTGTGTCTGTGTGTGTGTCTGTGTGTGTGTCTGTGTGTGTGTGTGTGTGTGTGTGTGTCTGTGTGTGTGTGTGTGTGTGTGTATATGTGTGTGTGTATATTACTTCCCTAGAATCAGACTGTTTTGACTCCATTTTCTTTTCGAGATTAAAACCCCGTTGTGTTCCAAACCCACATAAACGTCACTTCCCTGGACATACATTTCACTATTTTTACACACAACTTTAGTTTCATTAAGTGCATCTTATGCATAATATAGGAATTTTAGGGATATAAAACTTTTTTTTTAATTTAAAAATTTATATATTTACTAGATTTCGAAACATTTACATGAAATAAAAACGGCCCTCAGAACAACTTAAAAACCCTTTGTGGCCAGTTATTTTTTGAATAACAGGCTGCAACAAATTTTAGCTTCTTGGTACCATAATCCTATGCCATTTTTATACTGATAATAACAAAGCATCCTTTCAATGTATTATTTAGACCTCACTAAAGAGCATACATTTGATACAGGATCAAGATATTCAACACACAAAGAATCCTTTATTTTCTCTTTTAGTATCCTTAAACATGAAATACGTCCATAGGATTTTTAAAATTTTATTTTTATTAGTTTTAAGTAGATTTTAAAACACTAGCCTAGGCCCTAGGCTAATTGTCGACAATAGAACAAATTTAACATGAAAGGTAAACATTATTAAGATAACCCAATGTAACAAAATTATAAGTTTCCAATTTAAACTAGAACCAACTGATAATTCTAACTTTCTTGTATTATAAAAAGTAACATAACTACTTCAATTAGAATATTTATTTTTCTATTGCATACTAATAATTTAATACTTAGTTCTTTTATAAATGGTATTGAATTTACTTATATTTGTAAACACTTTTGAGAAAAGTAGTTAAGGTAATTTCCCTTAGATAAATAAAAAATTTTTGAAAGTAGCTTACAAAAATAAATAATTTTCTAAATCTATATGAATTATTAAACTACTCGAAATATTTTTACCATATTGCAATTTTTATAATCATATTGAACATTGATGTAATAACTAGGATATTGATTATTTATCTTTCATATATATATATATATGTTACGGTCAAAGTCCGAAGTCGGCCAATGCTAGGATTGGCCGGCCAATCCGCGCATTGGCCAATATCGCCTCCCATAGGTCGGTCAAAGTCCGAAACTTTGCTTGATTTCGGCCTTTATATACAAGTTTAACTTTTATGGCATTTAGAATTACATAGCAGCTTGTTATTTTTACACTTGCAGCGATTTGTTGTGCACTAAGTTGTGCAATTGCAGCGAGTGTAGCCTTGGCCCCCAGTCAATGATTGTGAAGATGCGATGGTTCGTAGTGATTTTTCCTCAGTGCCAACTGACGACAATAAGAGCAGTTTTTCGTGAAGAATTGAAAACTCACTTCTAGCATACAGTTGTTTTAGAACACCATGTTCCGTTCCTAATTTGTAGAAACCGCCCTCGACGCTCATGACAACTGCAATCACCTCTGTCAACATCTGGAAAACGGATGCGTACATTGTCACCCACTTCACCATCTTTAAATTTTGTATTTGATGTTTTAAGCATCTTAGCACCTTGAGTTTGCAAGCCAGTATGAGCTGCTGATCTGTGTTCCATGATGTCTTGTTTGTTGTGACACAATCTGCAGGTAATGTTCCCTCCGTACCCTTCGTCTGCTTCATTGGGTATTCCACAAATAGCATGGGCATCGTTGCCACAGGATCCAAAAGAATGAGCTTCACTTTAATGTTTTTCACAAACTATATAGAATCTGTTGGCCACATTATTGTCACGCAACTGGTCTGGGCGTTCCGCCACGGCAGTAGATGTGTTAGCTGAGGATGTCGTTGCATTTATGGCAACCTCCATTTCTTGTTCAATGTTCTCAAGATCTTCCTCAGTAACTATTTTATCGAGAGCCCATATATGGAAACTAACATGGATTTACATTTTTTTTTCTTTTGACAGCCATCTGCTGTCTGTCTCATGGTCTGACGGCCCTTTTGGTCCATCTCGCCTTGCATATAGAATGCTATACAAACAAGAGCTAAACAATACGTTACTCTCAATGAAAACGCACCCAGAATAATGAAAATGCGATCACAACTTAGTCTCGATAGAACATTGGCCAGGATATCCCGGCCAGTGCGCGCATTGGCCGGCCAATGTACAAAATAAGCTGTCAAGTTTAAGCGCTTCGGACTTTGGCCAGTACGTCCCGGCCAGTGCGCGCATTGGCCGGCCAACGGCCAATGTACTGTACGAAATACGATCTTAGTGCTAAGTTCTTCGGGCTTTGGCCAAGAGAGCCGGCCAATCCGCGCTTTGGCCGCACTTCGGGCTTTGACCGTAACACACACATATATATATATATATATATATATATATATATATATATATATATATATATATATATATATATATATATATATATATATATATATATATATATATATATATATATATATATATATATATATATATATATCCGCCCTCCACTAGCTACGCCAATATCCATAACCTTTGTCCAACCAAGAACAAACTACAAGGCAGCAGTTGTTTGATTTTGGGGTTGTCTGTTACAGGCCATTTGTTACCACGCAGGTCACGTGATGTACCCAAAGTTCCTGCTGAAGAGAAAACTTGGCCAGGTCCTGGTCGTCATAGGGTTAAGCACAACTTTGGTCTGTGTGTGGCTCTCACAGCTGGAGTGGGACGCGACAAGTAAGAAACTAATTAAATTATTCATATAAATTTGGTGGTAATTAATTAATTAATTAAAATAGGTAAGAAGGTAATTAGTTTATACGCTATATAGCTAATTAGTTTATTGATATAATTTGGTAAGGAGCTAATTAATTTATTAAAATAGTTTGGTTAAAAGCTAATTAAGTTATTAATATAGTTAGGTAAGAAGATATTTAATTTTTCAATATAGTTAGGTAAGAAGATATTTAATCTATTCATATAGTTAGGTAAAAAGCTAATTCATTTATTAATATAGTTTGGTAAGAAGTTAACTAATTTATTAATATATTTTGGTAAGAAGCTGATTAATTTATTAAAATAGTTTGCTAAGAAGCTAATTAATTTATTAAAATAGTTTGCTAAGAAGCTAATTAATTTATTAATATAATTTGGTAAGAAGGTAATTTATACTTTAAGATAAGTTTAAGACAGTTGTGTGTCTGTTGATAGCAACAATGACAAAACCGGTGTTTCTTTCTGTCATCTCTCCAGGGACAGTAAAACTTTCGAAGGGGGGCGCTTAAAATTTCCAGGGGGAGGGGAGAACGCTGGTTAAAGTGTATATTTTCTTTATAAATTTTATATTTTCCATTTCGACCAGGGTAGAGCAGAGGCGTAGCGACCCTTCCCGGCGCCCGGGGACAAACTTTCAATCCCCCCCCCCCTCGGAAGCAAATTTTTAATTTGCACCCCCCCCCCCCCCTCAAACGTTTGATTTGCACCCCCCTCAAACTATTTATAATGCAAAAAATGCAGCTAAAATGACATTTTAATTTGTTTTTACAACCCATTTTGGCGGCCCCTAAGGTCGGCGCCCGGGGACATATGTACCCCCCTGCCCCCCCCCCCCCCCCATCGCTACGCCGCTGGGATAGAGGGGACCAAAGAGATGCTTCCATTTTTGACGTTAATTCGCAACGCTCTTTTCAGTTCCTCGAGGCAATCCTCTTTTTTGTAGTTGCTTCTCACTTGCACGCCACCGTTTCTCTTTATACCTTCCTTTTTCCTTTTTCCAATGTTTTTTTAAGATTATATCTTTAACACAAAAAGTAATGCATTAGATGTGGACTTATTTTGTCTTCTAAATATTTTCAGATGAGGATTTGTTCAGAAAACGACCTCGGAGGAATGTAAACCCAAATTTAAACCAAGACTTTGTTATCGTTAACACTCTTTTGAAAGAAATACGAGGCAATAATGAAGACACGGAAGCAGAGGAACTGAACAAGGGAGATAATCTTGGCGACGCAGAAGAGTTTCAACCAAAAGAGTATGACGCAGGAAGTGAAATCAAGTCTGAGTTCGAAAAGGAAATCGACGACATTGCAAAGCCCTGCCCACTCTACCCTACCGATGATCTGATTGGTCGTCTAGCAGGCCTCAAGCAATGCGTTGCCCCGGAAGAGCTCCCGATTCTTTACCCGGAAGTAGAAAAAGGTGGTCGGATCAGACCTAAAAATTGTGTCGCGCAGGAAAGGGTTGCGATTATCATTCCCTTTCGAAATCGTTTCGTGCATCTTTACATCCTGTTAAATAATTTAATCCCCATGATGCAACGGCAGAAAATCGACGCCACATTTTTCGTTATAGAACAGGCCCCTCCCACCCTCTTCAACAGAGCCGCGTTATTCAACGTCGGTTTTCTGGAAGCTTCGAAACTGGGGAACTTCGATTGTTTTATATTTCACGACGTCGATCTAATTCCTCTCAACGACAGGAATTTATACCGTTGTGACGAACACCCAATACATTTTGCGGTCGCTATGGATAAATACGAGTACAAACTACCCTATAAAAAATACTTCGGTGGCGTTGTAGGGTTCACTAAAGAACAATACCTTCGTATAAACGGAAACTCCAACTTATACTTCGGTTGGGGTGGAGAAGACGATGATTTATTTGAAAGGATTGACAACAAACAGTTCGAAATAGCTCGTCCATATTTAGATGTAGGTAAATACGATATGATACGTCATGTTCATGATAAAGGGAACGAAGATAACTGCGACAGAAGACGTTTGTTGAGAACGGCAAGGAAACGGCAGGACGTGGAAGGGTTAAACACGGTCAAGTATAAAGTGAACTATTTACAATTGAAAAGTCACATGACTTGGCTCAATATACATTTTGACATGCAGGCGATTATAGACACGGCTCCCGAGGAGACGAGACAAGATATGGAAATGTCCTTAAAAGACTCGAAAAGCAGTTTTTGTAATTTTTCTAGAGATGCGCCTATTCGTGAATAGCAATAATAATAAAAAAAAACAATTAACATCCAAAATCTACTTGTTACATATGCGCATCTTGCAATATTTTGTACTAATTATGTGTTTAATTAATTTTTATAGTTTGTTTATATTTATGATTAAATTTATTTATATACATACGATTCTATTTGTTACAGTTATGTGAGGTAATGTTAAGAAAAATGAAGGGGGATGGGCTGATTGGTGTTATATAAGGGCACTAAAGATTTGCTTAATAGCAAATATTTATTGATTTACTTTGTTGGATATCGATATCTTCCTCAATCTTTGTTTCGGTTAAAAAAAAATTCTGATGGGTGCCAATAACGTTTTAAGGGGGCAGTATCACCCAGACATTTGAAAATTGACAAACAAATTTGCCAAAAAAAAAACTAGTACACATACACACCTAATTTTTTTACCATAATAGTAATTAATAAGGAGCTATAAAACAGCACATAAAAGAAAGTTATCGTATGATGCAAACATTTTTTATAAATAATTTTACCAACAAATTTTTAATAAGTAATTTTTGGCTGCGGTTTTCCTACATTAAGGCCCTTCCTGCTGAAAATACTATAGGAGATGCATAACAGGATAGCCCAGGGGTCGGCAACCTTTTGAAGCGGAAGAGCCAAAAGTTACAATTTTCAAAATTTCCCTGGTTTTAAAGAGCCACTAACATTTTTTTTTATTTCAAATATTTTTTTTTTTATTAAGATTATTAGTATTTGTTCAAGGAGCTGGAGAGACGCATCTTGATATCAAAAGAGCCGCATGCGGCTCGCGAGCCGCAGGTTGCAGACCCCTGGGATAGCCTATCGCTTAAAATTAGAAGATATCCATTGTGACAAATTTTGAAATTTTTAGAACTTTTCAAAGTCAACCCAAAAACATTATACGTAAATATTTTCTAAAAATTTTTACTCGCATTAGATATTTAATTTTAGTTCCAACAATTGCCATAAACGCAACTATTGCCAATAACGCAAAAATATCTTATACCAAATTTTAAGTACATTACTTATGGTTTCGAAAAATTGTTTACAAACAAATTCAAAATGTAATAAAATTTTAACAAAATAATTTTTTGAAAATTTGTTGCTATTTCTATACTCTACAATTTATATACTGTATTGTAGCAGGAGAAACGTTACTACTGCTGTAGAATTTTGACATATGTATATCGAATAGTTTTTTTTGTGTGAATATTTTTGTTTCCCTCCCTTAGTCTGGGTGATACTGCCCCCTTAAATGAATAATTTTTAAAAACTTCACTACCACCATGTTCCAAACTGTTACATATTTTAGAATTTCTTTCAGGCATCTCGGGGGTGGGGCGGGGGGGGGGGGGGGGGGGAGAGAAGGGGGGGGGGAGGCACAAATAGAAACATCATTTATATAGACAGTATATTTTTAACCAGTATCCGGCCCTGGTAGTTAAGTGCCCCCCCCCCCCAGGAAAAAAAATGTCTGAAATGAACCTTGTCCAGTTTACTTTATCAGCTTCATCTTGGACGAAAATAAAATAGTTTCATCTTGAAATTTGATACTATTCTTTCATGGGTATTGATGAACTTTGAACTCCAATTTACTCCAACTAACCAAATTCAAACGAAGGCCAAAGTACATGGATCAACCATTTCTGTAATATATATATATATATATATATATATATATATATATATATATATATATATATATATATATATATATATATATATATTTACCTATATATATTTAAATATATATAAATGTCTTCAAATGCCTATATATATATAATTGCAATTGGTGATATACCCATCTCATTTTGCCTAAATGGCGTAAATTTGTGCGCAAAATCCTCCTATTAATTGATGTGGATAAAGCATCGTTTTCATCGTGTCATTCGATTTTGGTGTCACCCCCTCTACTGTCGTTGATTGACTTATCTGTTATTAAAAAAAAAACATTTTTTCCCCACATATTTTGCAATTTTTTTTTGCCGTTGTGTCACCACCTAAATAGTGTCACCCGGTGCGGTCCGCACCCCCCCTCCCGCCTCCCCCCTTGCGACGCCTCTGATTCGAACCCGAGTTAGCAATCCGCTGCCTCGAAGCAACTGACGGAATAAGGGCAGGTTACCGTTGCGCTGATTCTAACTCAGAGATGCCTAAAAGAAACTGCATGCAGACCACTTTTAAGATTAATCAAATAAATTAGGTGGTAATATTAGCGTCACGGTCTTTCACTACCCATCTTTTAAATTTTCGTGTTTTCTCAAGAGCCGATACCTACAAACAGAATAGTGAAACTATTATAGTTAAATTGAAAGTATAAAGCTTGATAATAATATAAGCTTTAATAATTAATATGCACCATGCGTATAGCAACTAGCAACATCAGCGGACTGACTTTACATAAGAACCCTCAAGGAAAGCAGGTAGGTCAAAATGAACATGGAAAAGGTCAGCTGTCAGTGAAGTAGATGCGGCCAAATGTAGTGTTCAACTTATAGGAATCACCAGATTCTAGAGATCAACAGGAGTAACGGTGTTTTGGAAACGAGAATATAATCAACTGGAATTTGAATATGAATTAAACTCATTTTCAGGTGGGGTGTAAAAATATTGACCCAAAAAAATTCGACCCCGACGAGATTCGAACTCGCAATCTTCTGATCCGAAGTCAGACGCCTTATCCATTAGGCCACGAGGCCCTTAACACATGGGTTGTAGTATATATTTATATACCATCTAATATTCATTTAACACGCTTGTTTATTATTTCTGTGTTATTTTAAATAGATTATGTCAAAAAAGACCAAATGTTATAAAAATAGTTCTCCGCATTTTACAGATTTACAAGTTTAAAAAAAAATTATCATGTAGATCTAGATCTAGATTCGAACACGAATCTTACTGCCGGGTCATTTGATTTTATTATACAAACAAAATGGAGGAGAGAGATCCTTCTTGTAACCCAATGGAGCCACTGCTGCCAATAGTATGTTTAGTACTGTTTGGATTATAAGCTTTAAGTTAGCCCATATCTAGAATCTAGGCTAGATCTAGCTCTGTCGAATTTATTATCTTAATCTTTGTATCTTAATGCTAGAATCAGTCTATTTATTACTGTAGCACTTCTTTCGGTAATCTATCGTTTTGGGTACGTAAAATCGCTCGCGGCTATTTATGTACGAAAACGTTACCTCATTGTCAAGGCTTTAATAGAAGTATATTGTCATACTTTTGTGTCAAATATTATAGATAAATGAATAATAAACCTAAATCAATGGCTAAATATATCGATATAGGCCAGAAATTAACTTTAAACAGCAGTGTCTGAGAGCAAGATTTGCTATATAAACAGCAGCCATTTGTAAAATAGAGTGACTTCCCCCTGAATCTGGCGCTAAAAGCTTATAAAAATAAAACTTAGACAAGATGGCTGCTATAGTAAATGAGCATGATTGCATCTGTTGGAAACATCGTTAGTCTTCATTTATTACGGAAAAGTTTTTATTCAATTGTTTAAAAACAGGTACATAAATGGGTAAAATCTTAGTTTAGCGTCGTAAATTCCAACTTAGCTAGTAATGTGCGATGAAGGTAACTAATGAATATTTCTTTCATTTGGCCATATTTATGTCATATTTTACATAATATAACAGATAATTGAATACCAAATCACAATCCAAGACCAAACCAGTCATAAATATCCTGGAATAAACTTTAAACTACCCCGTTCGAGACAACAATGAGTAAATACAAGCAGCGGCCATGTTTTAAAAACAATAAATTGTCTATTCGCATGTCTTTTGTGTTGATTTTGTGGTTTAATATGATTGTTTTGTATTGTTTTAATATATGCCGGGGGGTCGTCCATAAATGACGTCACACTCGTAGGGGGGAGGGGGCCCGTAATTTTGTGACGTTGTGTGTGAGGGGGAGGGGGAGGGGTTCAGACGGTGCGACATCACACTTTTGCAATTTAAAAAAGCAATGTTACAAAACGAATTTTAGACGTTATTTTGCGTTGTAAAAAACTGTTTTAATACATTGTAATAACAATTGATTAAAATACTCTATTTTGACAGAGTTCAGACAAGATTTTGGAAAAATATAGCTGTTAAAAAAAAATTCAACTGCAATTTTGAGGGGGGGGGGGGGTGTAGGCTGAGGTGTGACGTCATTTTAGGGGGGGGGTCTGGCTTTTTGTGACTACGTTTGACGGAGGGGAGGGGGGGGGAGGTAAAAATCGTCAAAAAAAAACGTGACATCATTTATGGATGACCCCCTGTATAGTAATTTTTCTTTTTTTTTAAACATAGTTGACATGAATGACTAATAGACCATATCAGACTTAATAGTGTGCATCCAAGACCACAACAAATGTTGGGAGGTCGAACTTTTTAACACTTTATTTGCAGTAAGCAAATCAATATTAGATCGCTCATAAATGACGTCGCTCTTAAGATAGTAATGACAGCGTGCATTATTACAGAGCAAACATATGAACATATTGTTTCAGATAGAAATTGTGATTTGTGGTGGGGAGAGGTTGAGTAGAACTCAGCGATGTGATTTTGGAGACTGGTCAGGTTTTTTTTCTCGTGAAAACGGGATGGTTGTGGGAGAAAGACCAGCTGTAGAAGTATGACGCGTCATTCATTGGTGACCCATTTTCTCAGTGGGGACGAAAAACTATTAAGAAAGGTCAAGAAATGTCAAAAGCTTGCCGAGTCGCATTTCTTGAACCCTACCTTTTTCATTCCCCCACTTAGCACATCGTCACCGAGTTAACGCTCGCACGTGACGTCGTGTAGCGGTACCGCCGACCGTTAGGCTAATTTTATAGAAAAAAAAAAACAATAAGCACTGCCTTTTTGACGCTTTCGCGACGTTTAGTTTGATTACATAAGTTGGTGTTCATTAAACAGCCCCTAACACATCTATCACTCGTCCATTTAAACGTACGTAGTTATTTCTGCAAGCTTGCTGTCTTGAGGCTTTCGGCCCTTTAAAAATGTACTAAGCTCACACCGTATAGAACTAGACTACCCATATTAAGCTCCAAAAGAAGCTTGGTGAAAACAGGATGGCCGTCCGATTTTGTAGCTGCTCTGCGCTTTTTAAAAACCACAATAAACGATAAGATGACACTTATATTAAAGTAAATTATAGTTCTGAATCTTGATACATTAAAAGTGATATTCGGAAATTAAGAGCCAGACCAGACAGTCAACATATTTCAATTTAAGTCCAAGAAAATAAATTTCCTCAAACGATGGAACATTACTAAATTTTCGCGCAGTTTAGCGAAATTGAATTTAAGTATTTACGTCATCTTACAAAGCGCGATAGCTTACTGGTGCTCTAACGTGGCCCATGCTAATGGCCGTATTCCTAACGCCCCGCATTAGACACGGCTTATTCGTCGGCAGGCATTTGGTGGCAAGCCTTTTTGACGGGGATAATGTGTTGCGGACGTTTTGCCGAATGTCTTAAACTAGCAGGCTTGCGACATTTGTGTTTTAAGCAAGGTATACGTATACTAATGCTTATTTATCGTTATTTTGATTGAACAAAGCATTATAGAGGTTCTCCATCAATCACCTAGGTATTTTTCCCCGTTCACCTCCTTTCATGAGACCGACACGTCATAAATTGCAAAGCCGCCTGAGTTGACGTCACAAATCTTCACTCACTCCCGTAGCAAATCATATGTGACATCATTGTGACATCATTTATGGACAACCCCATATCACTCACTTGTGTACTTGATATTGACGATTTGACAAGAAAGGATAACCAAAATGTGTCTGGCAGGTGGAGACTTGGGATCGACCATAATGACAACACGCGCTTAAGGGGTGGACGGGCTCATTGTTTTAGATGATGTTTTACGAGGGAAGCTGGTGGATAATACATTTGGTCTCTTTGTATATGTAAATGATGACAAACATTTAATGTTGTCAAAATTATGGTTAGAGATCTTAGATAAGGCAGAGTGAAGCGTAATTTTTTACATTATGACTTGTTGTGACATTGACGACAAAAATATGACGGAGGTTGGGGTTTAATTAAGGTAAAGAGAAGTAAAAAAAAAATGTCATAAGTTACGATAGAATTACTAACTGATGAAAAGAAAAACCTGAAATGAAAATAGTGAACATTCAAACAATAAGAAAAAACTCACAACTATTTAGTAATAGTAAGATCAGTAGCGTAGCGAGGGGGGCGGGGGGGGGGACATATGTCCCCGGGCGCCGACCTTAGGGGGCGCCAAAATGGGTTGGAAAAATAAATTGAAAGGTTGAGGGGAGTGCAAATCGAAAGTTTGAGGGGGGGGGGTGCAAATTGAAAGTTTGAGGGGGGTGCAAATCGAAATCTCGAGGGGGGGGGGGGGGTGCAAATCGAAAAGTTTGTCCCGGGAAGGGTCGCTACGCCTCTGAGTAAGAAAACACGTGATTTAATACATGGATACAAGTTGCATCTCACAATGCTTCTAGAATTAATAAAGTTGTTTGTTAGGAAATTCACATTTAAAAAAATGCTTTGTAATACGGACTATACAACAAGACGATCATATTTAAATACATTTTCATATGAATAGAAATGAAAGGGAAGCTACTCTCAATAACATTTTCTTAAGATGGCTGCTGTTTTTAATAGCAAATTTACTATCTCGAACAGGGTTGATAAAAATTAATTTCAGGATATTTAAATTGATTTAACCATCAATGGTGATCTATTATTCAATTATTTATAATATTTTATTAAAATATACGAAAATATACTCATATTTAATGACATATTCATTAATTCACTCTCTCCCACATTACTAGTTTTGGCCGAATTTACGACGCTAAACTAAGATTTTACCCATAAATGAATCAAGGAAACATTTTTGAATTTTTTAAAACATAAATCCTCCTCAAAATGTAAAATAATTATTAAAATTTAAGGAGTCACCTGTTTTTCACATTACAAATCGCGGGCGATTTTACGTACCCAAAACGATAGATTACCCTTCTTTCTTAGGCCCCTACTAAAAAAAAAAATTAAAAAAGCAATGAAACATTTTAACATACACATGATTGAATTTTCATCAACTTGATTGAAGTTATCAATATCAATGATTGTCGATTGAGAAAGAGATTGTGATATTTTTATGTAATATTAGGCTTTAAATTATTTATTAGGGCTTAGTTGACTTCTCGAAATTCAAACTTGTATAATCTAGGTAGGCCTATAATCTAATTCTTATTTTTCTAGATCTAGATTTCTTAATTGCGTAATAAATTGTAGATTCCCGGTAGATCTAGTCACCTGGTTAACTATCTTAACTATTCTTAACTATCGGTTAGGTACGTAAAGTTGTCCGAGAATAGTAATGTGAAGAAAAGGTGACTCATTAAATTTTAGTAATTATTTCACATTTTTAGGAGGATGTAGGCTATGTTTTGAAAGTTACAAAAATGTTTCAAGGTTTCATTCATGTGCTCTTCCTGTTTTTTAAAAACAATTTTTTAAAAATGTTTTGTAATAAATTTTAATAATAATAAAGACTAGTGATGTTTTCATCAGATGCAACCAGGCTTATTATTTACTTTAGCAGCTATCTTGTTTGAGTTTTTATTGGTAAGATTATAGTGTGAGATTCAGGGGAAACCACTCTAATTTACAAATGGCCGCTGTCTTTATAGCAAATCTTGCTAGCAAACATAGCTGTTTAAAGTTAATTACTGTCATATATTGATATATTTAGCCATTGATTTTGGTTTATTATTTAGGTATCTATAATATTTGACACAAATATATTGCAATATACTTCAATTAAAGCCTTAGCAATGAGGCAACTTCACATTTCTAGCCTCTACCGATTTTACGCACCTAAAATGATGGATTACCCTTAATTTTAGTAGTATAAGACAGTAGGCCTATAAGTAGTATTATTAAAAACCCGCCTAATCACTTCACTACCACTACGTCACTACACTCTACCTACTAGCCTTAACCTACACTGTAGATAGATCTAAAACACTACACTAGTACACTAGAACTAGGCAAACTCTAGATTTCAATATTAGATAAGATATCTAATTAATATAGATATCAAGATTTAGAATCTAGTAGTAGTATTATTGTGTTTGCTGTAGATCAGAATTATTTAATTTAAGGCCTATTTGAATTTACTAACAGTCCCTAACACTACTAACAGTAACACTAACTTAACTGCTAATCGTGAGTAACACTTTGACTAAGTGACTTACAGTATATAGACACTGATTAGCTAACTCTAACAGTCACACTTACAACTACCCTGCAAACTACTACTAGATCTTAATCTAGACTAATCTAGAACTAGGGTCTAGAATCTGAGTCTAGAATGTGAATAAGAATTCTAGGAGTAGGATCTATTCTATATATTTAGAATATGATACATAGATCTACATTCACTTCTGACTACTCAAAAAACAAAACAACAGTAGTGAGTAAATCTACAGGTTTCTACAGACTTAGTCTAGTACTTACTGCTAGATTTGACCCATGCCCTAAGCCTGCTACCTGTATAATTAATTTATTTTGATGAATGTACTATAATGCCTAATAAAAAAGTTCTTTATCTTTTATCTCTAGAAGTCTCGTAGTAATGAGACTCAAAAAACAAAAGATGCTCCACCAACCCCTAACCCAGCGGTTGTGTTACCAAATGATATCAATTCATTCGATATAGTGCGAGCAACACAGTATGGTGTCATACCCAGAGTACATGAACTCATTGAAGCAGGCTATGATGTTAATCAAATGGACCATGAGAATGTTAGTCTTCTACATTGGGCTGCTATCAATAATCGAACAGAGATTGTCAAGTAAGCATAAATTGTAACATTTTATGCAGGTTTTTAAAAATAATTATTTGTAACTTAGACATGTACATATGGTTTTGCAAATTTACTTTAAATCTAATATGTTTTTCTTATTTTCAAACAGTTACTTCATGTCAAAAGGAGCTATTGTTGATAGATTTGGTGGTCACCTTAATTCTACACCACTTCACTGGGCAACGAGGTAAATTAGCAAGTATTTTTTCTTAATTTTGAAAATACAAAGACTGATTAACAGTGTCTAAAACAGTGGTTCTTAACCTGGGTTTGATCAGTGAATCAGTCTTAGGGGTTTGGTAAAGGCCAAGATGTGAAACTGGTAGGGTTCAGTACTAATAAAAAAGTTAATAACCACTGGTCTAAACAATACTTACTACAATACATAAAGACAATTGATCACATAGTATTTGTTATTAAATAAAATAACAGATCACATACGTGTGGTGAATTTTAAAAATTAAATTACTGAGCAATTGATTTAATTTTGTATGAAATTTTTCTTCTACCAGACAAGGTCACTTATCCATGGTTGTACAACTCATGTCGTTTGGTGCTGATCCCTCATTGAAAGATGGAGAAGGTATAAGATCTATCTTTAACTTTCATTTTAGTGGAGATTTTTAAAAACATTATTAATTGTAACCGTTGTTTAGTATACCACTTATTTTATTTGTCAGCTATTTTAGTAATTATCCTCAAGTTTGATTATATGGTATAATTTAACTAGAATTAAATGATATTTTTTGCTGTGTGTCACCTTTTTGAAATTTTGCTAACCACTGAAACATCTTAAAAAAAAATTGTAATTGATTTACTATAAAGGAGACCATGTACCAATTTTTCAAAGAGTTTAAATGTTGTCGACTTTTAATTTAAAAAATCTAATAACAGGTAAGACAGTATAAATAAATATTTTTTTAAAGCTAATAGGCAGCAAGAATAAATATAGGCCTACAGTCATTTGTACATTTGATTTAGTAGGTTTAATCAGTAACAGTAAATGAAAATGGCATCTTACTGCTGTTGATATTGTGTATATTCAGGTTGCTGTTGTATCCATCTTGCTGCTCAGTTCGGACATACCGCCATTGTGGCTTACCTGATAGCCAAAGGTCAGGATGTTGATATGCTTGACAAAACTGGCATGACTCCATTGATGTGGTCATCTCATAGAGTTTTTGGGTACGTGAAAATTTAGCTTTCCAATTATTTGTAATAATTACTATACACGCTTGAAAATAAATATTGGTAATACAATGAGTACGTGAAAATTTAGCTTTCCAATTCTTTGTAATAATTACGGTACACACTTGAAAATAAATAATCGGTAATACAGTGAATTAAGTTTTTAAAAAATTTAAAATCAAAAGCAGTTACTCTTGTATTAGTACTTTGATTTTTATATACATCTTTATCCAATTTTGAACAGTTTGGGTGTGTAGTACAGTCATTCCTTGTGATACAAATTTAATTAGTAACAATGTGTGTCAAACATCTAGTATTTAAAAGCAAATTATTCCATTGAAATTAACTAAAATATTATGAATCCATTCCTGCCCCCAAAATGCCACCACAGTTCTTTTTGAATATATTTTTGAGTAAAAAATGAATTTATGACTTTATAAATTCTGTAAAAAAAACATAATAAAAGAGAAGAATAAAATAGTTTTATATTTTAAAGCAAAACATTGTTAACTCAATAGCTTGTGTCCAAAAAATCTCATGTTGGGGTACTTGTATGTCTAGCTTCCACTTAATAACAATAATAATAATAATTGTTCATAATTTGCCCGAAAAATTGTTCACCTGCTGTAACAGAGATAAAATGTTTGATAAGTTGTATCTCCATTTTGGTGCACACATTCCACTCTGTTATCTCCCTTTAACTCTAAACCTAACAAATTTTTTTACCAGATATGACCCGACCCGTCTACTGCTGACATTTGGTGCCAGTTTGTCTAAAGTTGATAAAGTCAATGGCAACACTGCTCTACACTGGGCTTGTGTGAGTGGAAACCATGTAGTGATCAAACTTCTTTTGAGCAAGGGTGCTGATATTGATGCTCTCAACTTAAAGGTGAGATCAACTGTATATTTTATCAAGTTTTTTTTTCCCACGTTTTTATTCTTTTTTTTTTGTAACTTGTCCTTGTTACTTTGTTCTTAATTTTCTGATTTAAACATTAAGATTGTTACAGATCATTTTACATCATGCTTTGCCTATCATATATATATTAAGGAGTATTAAAAAAAAAAAAGTCACACAATCGTTCAGATAGTTAAAAAAAAACTGCCAGCATTAGTTTAAAAAAATCCTTTTTAAATACTAAAATTGTAGAATGAGAGACCTGAAGATATTAAAGCAATGTAGATTTTTGTTTCCCTTTTGTGCCCAAGACACATATAGCTGTCACAGAAAGCTCTCTCCACTTTTGTCAGTCTCTTGGGGGTCGGCGTGGTCGAGTCGGTAAAGCTCATGGTTGCTAAACCGAAAAGTCTCGAGTTCGAACCCTCGGGCAGATGAGGCTCGTTAGCTGGGGACAGCCACTCTTCTAGGAGAGACAACTCCAAAATTAAACAACTGCTGCCTTGTAGTTTGTTCTTGGTTGGACAAAGGCTATGGAAGCAAATCCAAAAAGAAAAGCAGGCTGAAATCGGAGCCAATGGCCTCAATGGCGCATAACCAGTTGACACGTAACGCTTAATTGTGTTGGAGGCGTGGTCGAGTCGGCAAAAAGCTCATGGTTGATAAATTCGAAATAAGTCTCGAGTTCAAACCTACTGGCAGATAAATCTTGATCCCCTTCAACACTAATAATTAAGAACGAAGAAGAAGAAAGAAGAAGAAGTCAGCCTCTTGCAATTTTCCTGGCAGTTCCCCAAGACAGTCCTGCCTTTGCCAGCTTCTTCCTCGCTTTGTCCTTCCCTGCATTCTTTTTCCTTTATGTATCCAGTTTAACACAGTTTATTGAAATAAATGAATAATTTCCAAATTCTATGTAGAACGAAACACCGCTGGACATTGCCATTAACCAGAGCAATTCAGATTTGGTTTTTAAACTCAGACAACTACAGGCAGCAGCTGAGGCTACAAAGAAAAGTGTGCTTGGAAAATATGCATCAGATAAAGTAAGAGCCTGTTTCTTCTATTCATAACTATTTTTCAGAACAGGTTGAAAGCTTTTTTTTTTGGTTTAGTTCTTTATCAAAAATTATATGTAAAAAAATGTAATAACTATTTTTTAAGAAAGGTTAAAAGCTTTTTTTTTGTTTATTAAAAGTTATATATATAAAAATTGTAATAACTTTTTTTTTTAGGTTTTCAGAAGAAAAGTTAGTTATGTGTTTCCATTTATCGCCATCTTTGTCATTGGATTCATTCCTGAACTTTCACTCCATTGGGGGCTCAAAGTCTTGTTTTTGTTAGTTTGTTTTATTATAGGCAACATAATTTTCAAGTAAGTGTTCTACATTTTTTATTTATATTTCTTATCTTTCAATGCTTAATATATGAATTATAATTATCATTCTATGTAAACTTTTTTATCCTTTAGGTAAAAACTTTAATATGATATTACAAACATCATGTGTTTTTATAATCTTTTTGTGTTAGTTTAATCCACTTTTGTAGATTAACAATAATTTTTCTTAATTAATTTATTTGATCAACAGATGTTGAAAATAATCTGTTATAAAAATATAAATTCTTTCCATTTTTTAAATTAAACGAAACAAAATTTGAATTTCAGAGCATTCTTTGATGAATCAACATCTTACAGAATTCCCATATCTATTTACTTGGCCACAAAGTTTTGGATGTATTTTACTTGGATATTTTACCTTCTACCTTGTATCCTCTAAAACAACTTGTGCTACTTTTAGAGTTTTAAAAGTTTAACCCATTAGTATTGTAAACCTTAATACTCCATCAATTGTGTTATCTTTCAATTGAATAAGAGTATTTTGTGTTGATTGGATGGTGTGGCCTAGCGGTAGAGAGCTAGACTGCTAACCCGAGAGCCTTGAGTTCGAATCCGGGTTCAAATCAGTGGAACGTCCTTGAGTCCACCCGGCTCTGATGGGTGCCGAACTTATATAATGGAAACAAAGGCGGCTGGGCATAGTACTGACCACACTATCCCTTCATATGCCGAGATCTATGAATCAGATGAACTCTACTTCATCTGCTCCATGTGTCTTTGGCACGAACAGGATTAAGATTTTGTGTTGGTCTGTATACAGCAACCATATGTCATTTTACTCTTTTATCCAATGGTACTTTACCCTGTTTTTATCAGAACCCTGTATTTGCAACTCTGAACAAAGCTTTTGAAGGTGTTTAAACAAATATACCTGTCTTATTGATCAACAGTTATGCTTACATAATTGTAATCAGATATGCCAGGAAGTATTACCTTCCATATGATGTTTATTATCGTCAGTATACTTCTCACTTATAATTTCTACAAGGCTTGGAGAACAGATCCTGGATACCTTAAAAGTAACAGAGAAGACAAAATTAAAGTAAGTACAGTTGGCTTATCTTTAAATTGAATAAGAGTATTTTGTGTTTATAGGACGGAGTGGTCTAGCGATAGCGAGCTGGACTGCTAACTCGTAAGTCTCGAGTTTGAATCCGGGTTCAAGTCAGTAGACCGTCCCTGAGTCCACCCAACTCTGATGGGTACCTTACTCATGCTAGGGAAAGTAAAGGCGGCTGGGCATAGTGCTGACCATACTATCTCTTCATATGCGGAGGTCACAGAAACTAGTGAACTCTACTTCACACAAAAGAATATACTGTATTTTTTGGCTTAAAATATGAATTTTAACCCAGGAAAATCTTGAAACTCTGGGCTCGTCGTATGTTCACGATGTCACATTGTGGGGAGAATTTGTTCAAAACTATGATTTAATTAGAAAAGTTGTGTGGGTGGAGTTGTCTTACACCCCAGAAAATTGTTGTGTTAATAATTTAAAATTCTAAAATAAAGTTGATTTAAGAAATAGGTAGATTAATTTTACTTGTTTGTATTAATATAAATCACTAGCAGTAAAAATTAAATTGACAAAATGACCAGCTTTAAGAGATCTTTAATGATCTTATTATACTTTTGTAATTTACTTGAAGTTTTATTTATAATTTTTACATCACCTCCACAGACAATATTAGATCTTGCTGAAACTCAGACCCTGAGGCTTGACCAGTTTTGCAGTACGTGCCTTATACGGAAGCCCCTGAGGTCCAAGCATTGTACAGTGTGTAACAGATGTGTTGCTAAATTTGATCACCACTGCCCATGGGTTGATAATTGTGTTGGTAATGTAAACAATTCATACCAAATCTGATTTTTATTCATTCTGATTTTGTTCAATATTTTCTAGTTTTTGAGAAAAGTCCTAGTCATTGTGGAGTTGAAGTTCTAATTTTAATAAAATATATTTTAACTTCATCTTAGTATGCATTCGTTTTTTAAACCTGTTTTTTTAAATTGTTTTTTGTTTGTAGGGCCTATGACATTTTAAAAATAAACTGTATTAACAAAATATTTTAACAGGGGCAAATAACCATCGCTATTTTATTGGTTACCTCTTCTTCCTCATGACTATGCTCTTGTTTGCAATTTATGGATGCATCACATGTAAGTTAGTTTTTATGACTATTTTGTTATTAGAGCTGAATTTATTTAGTTATGATGAAATGTGCATAATTTAAAAAAAAAAACAACCAATGAAAGAATTTAATAACAAAAAAAAAACTAGAAAATTATTTAAATTGGCTATTTCATTTGCCATTCTTTCACTAAGATGCACAAATTTTAAATAATTTTTTTTTCTTTCTAACCACCTTGCAAGTAATGAATATTTATCTGTAATACAATTTTGAGACTTAAATACACAATGTTATACATCTTGATTTACAAACTTCATTATCGCTTTCAATGCATTTTTTTTTATTTTGCAAGAAATTAAAAAATCTGAAATTTTAAAAAATCTGGCATATTTATATATATACATTTCAGTCTGGCAAGTTGAATGTCCCATGGACTTCTATGAGGATGGTATCACTGGTATTATCTACAAAGCTCTGAAAGCTTCACCTTGGGTTGCGTGGATAGCACTGAATGTGATAGCTCATCTTGTCTGGGTGTCCACGTTGTTTGTGTGCCAGATGTACCAGGCAAGTCTTTTTACTTCCTTACATTTTAGAGTGGGACATGGACTGTTGTTTTATGTTTCCAAGCAAGGTGTATTGTATCTACATTACCACTACTAGTTTTACTTCCTTACATTTTAGAGTGGGAAAATGGACTGTTGTTTTATGTATCCCAGCAAGGTGTATTTTATCTACATTACCACTACTAGTTTTCACTTCCTAAACTTCCTTACATTTTAGAGTGAGAAATGGACTGTTGTTTTATATATCCCAGCAAGGTGTATCTACATTACTACTACTAGTGTCATCATTTTCTTTTCTCATTCATGCCCAAATAGAAATGGGGCACTTGAAGTAGAGTTCAGTAGTGTAGTCAGCACTATGCTTAGCCGCTTTTGTTTTCCTAATGTTGATTCAGGGACAGAATCAGGATCTGAACTCGAGATTAGAATTAGCAGTCATAAGCTCTACCATCAGACCAGCATAGTAAAACATTTTTCCACAAAATATGACAAAATGAAAAAGTATTAGCATAATACAGTTTGTATTTGTGCATATTTCTCTATTCATATACACCCAAAGAGAACAATTCATTGTTGTTAAAAGTTTATATAACACCAGCTGTTACAGCCATATTCCTAACTCTTAAATTGAAAATAACATTAAAAGCAAGGCCCATTATAACAAAAATATTTCTATTAGTATTATGGCTACATGTTACATTTAGCATGCCTAACATTTGTTTACAATTTCAAACAGATCACTTGGCTGGCCATGACAACCAATGAGAGGATGAACCAAATGAGATATTGGGGAATGCATAAAATGGCCAATCCTGCTAATGATGGTGAATGCTGTGATGATAAAGGTGAAGGTCATGGACACAGTCATGGTCATAATCATCATGAAAAGATTGTTAGTCCATTCCAGTAAGTCCTTTTGTATATTTTTATATTTTATAGGGACATTTTTGTGTTCAATAAAATTATGATATTGTGTTGATCTTTCTTTAAGGAAGTACCAAGAAACAAAAAAAAACTAGATTGTTAATTAGATAAAATTTCCAACCACTACATAATTATTTTTCTTAGGATTTTTCTAGCTGTAAAATACTATTTATAAATGATATCTTCTAAACTTGTATAAATTGTATTTAGTTTTCATTACCTCTTGCTTTAAATTTAGTGGTTAAAATAGAACAGTTTTAAAAAAAATAAATAACAACATAAAATAACCTGGCTTAAAATGCTTCATCAATTGTTAATTCTTTTTAATTTGTTTAAACACATTTTTAAAATATTTAATGGTATGGAGTGATAAAAGATGTAGAAGTAACATGAATTTCTTGAATCCCTATCCTTGTCTTGTATGTCCAACTTCCTTGAGAAAAACCAGGATATGAGACAATTAAAAATAAGTAAAAACAGATGTTGAAGAATTGTGAATTAACCTGTTTTTGTTACCTTGTCATTTGAGGGTATAAGGTGTTCATCACAACTATGGTACTTAAGAACAACCTACTTGACTTAAAGCCCATGATTCAAACTTGCAATCAGTCTTCATTAGATCATATTGTCCCATTAAACAAGGTCCCCTTTTTTTATTTCTACTAAAGTTAATTCCCCTTTTCCAATTTCTTTCGTAGTCGCGGCGTTTGTAAGAACTTGGTGGATCTGATGAATTGGCGTTGTTGCGGCTTATTGCGTCCCATACAGGTAGACTGGGCAACAAAGTATACAATGGATTCCCAGCCCGGCTACCAAGCATCCAACTTCCATGCAGAGCATGAAGGCTATCACTTAGTTTAAAAGTTTTTTTTTTTTACCCCATTCACAGAATGCTATGCTTAAGGAAATATTGTCCTTTTTTAATAAAAAATCATATACACCATTTCAGAAATAATAACAGTTTTAAGTGCTGCTAAAAAAAATAAACTTCTTGAGTTTAAACAATTCAGTGATATTGTAAATAACATTTTTATGCTTATTTTAATATACATTTTATGTATATATACACACAATATTGATATCTATGATATTTATATAACTAAAAAAATGAGATCATCAGTCATTAGTGTCAACATGCATTGTTTTTTTTTAATCAGCATTATGAACAATTTTCTAACTTAAAGCCCCTCAGCTTAGACAAAGAAGAATATAATATTTAATATTATAAATTGTCATTTAGAAATAAATTGATACAAATATTTTGAATTTATAGTTTTGGGAATAGTGAAATGGTATAAAAAGTGTTTTTCCTGCATTTCTCCTGAACAGCCTTGTCCCATGCATTTACCAGTGCATTGTAACTAGTTTTGTAAAGTTAATGTGATTTTTGTTTTTCTTAAAAAAATAGAAATATCTTTTCAGTTGTAGTTAGCGTCAATACCTTTTATATCAGCTTTTCTATGAGTGTGTTTGTAGTTTAGCTAGTTCAACACCTTTTATAACTTTTCAGTAACTACACATTTGTACTTTTGCTAACATGTTCTTGTTTGAATTGTAATTTAAGTAGCCATTAATTAAGCATAACATCAGGTGTTACTACTTGTTTTGAAGGAAATATTCCCAATGTATTTTTGCTATCAGTATCAGTAATATGGTGTTATTAAAACATCCCTTAAATAGCGAAAACATTGCATACAACATTTGAGACTCATTTAAAGTTGGTCACAGTGCAATATTGTTGGACTGTTGTCAATATGACGTGTCAGTATGTATGACATGTCAGTATGTATGCCAGGCTTTAATCTACACACACATTTCAGCTCGTTGACATTCGACATTGCATTATAACCTTCTGTAATTGCTTCAGGGTAAACTAACAATTATAGGAAACTAACAATTATTTATTTTTAGAAAATTTATTCTTCCTAGCGGTTGTTTTTTTAGTGTGAATTTTGAAGTAATAAATTATCACTGCCCTTTTCCGAGTCATTAACTATAAAATGTCAACATCATCTTCACATAGTAAAGGCAGTCTAGGTTGTTAATAAAAATAACATTCTTTTATAAGTAGAATATACAATAGTTTGAAAGGGAGATGAGTTATGTACCTTATCACAGTAGTTAAATTATGCAACCTAGGAAATCATTCAGAGTTGTGATAATTCATTCCCTCCTTATAAAGTAATGATCATTATTTGTTTTTAACACTAACAGTACATAAAAATATGTATATTTTTGTTACTAATTTGTATACTTAACAAAAAAAAACATCAGCTTATTGTTTTGATTGATCTTCACTGAATTTTAAAAACATTTTTTAGTTATGAAAAGATTTATTTGAGAAAACAAATACTTTAAGTAAATAATTTGTTTACTAAGTGTGGAAAAGAATTATAATTCTCAATGTTAGCTGATAAGTTTTTAGTCGCCTGTGCAAACTGTTAAATATACATCAGTGGTTGTAGATAATGCATATTGTAGATAACGGTTAATTTATCATCAATTAAGATCAGCATGCTGATAATACACAGTGTTATGTATTTAGGCAGACAGTTTAAGGCATATCATTTATTTAATGTGGTGTTTTTAAAAAAAACGAATTGTACATAGTAGTGATGGGTTAGAAGTGTTCTGATAAAATATGTTAGGAAGTGAGTCGTATGGTGCTGGTGTATGGTCTGAATTGTCATATGTATCTGTATTATATGTTGTGTTAGTATTTTTTTTATAAAGCCTCTACTTTTATAGACCTAAGTTTAATACTGCCTGTAAGTTAGAGTTCGGGTGATAAAGATGTAAAAAATCTTGTTATTGTGTATTGTTATGAAATTTTATAAAAGGAAATTAAATATAGCAGAAAAGTAATTCTATTTAAACTTTGTTCTAGGCAGTTGCTTGGTGTGTATGTTTACATTATTTTTTTTTTTTACCAATAAACATGTGCACTTAAAATCTTGTTCATTTGTCAAATTATTTTTTTTTAACCTTTACCATTATTTTAATTCTGTTATTGATTAAATTTGTTGTATTAAAATGTTTTAAAATTTGTTTTGTTTCATTTTTAAAAAAAAGTTAAAATAGTCATATTTAAGAGACCTATTTATTTTGTTAATTTTTTTCTTTTTGAGATTTTTTTCTTCAAGTTTTTGTTTCATGTGTTTTGATTGGTTTAAATTTACAATATAAAATATTGTAAAAGAATTGAATAGATTTTAACATTCTGTAGAAAAATTAATTTTTTGTGTGTTAATATTTGAGTACTCTCAACATAAGCCAGCTGTTAGACCTACTACTGGGAATTTACAAACTGCACAGATTAAAAAAATTGATTCTGTTTAGAAATGTGGAATAATAAAAAAAACAATTACAGGCCTAGCCAAAATCACAATTTTATTTACCTGGCTATACAGGTATAGACTCTTAATTTTTTTTCTTGAACATTTTAAATTGAAACTTGAGCTTTAAAAAAAAAGTGTAGGCCCAAACACTTACATTAAGATCATGTTTTTTTTAAGTTGGTGTTCATGTAAACAAAGAGTTATAAATTTGTTTTTGTACTTCATTTCAACACATTATTTTGTTTTATATCATGTTTTTTTTTTACAACACCCACCAAACCTGTATCTCTCTACTGTGAGATTTAGGCATTAAGATGTGTTTGCTTACACCTGCCCATCTATCAGCACACTTTGTTACAAGTCTGATATCCCCCTTTTCCCTCAAAACAAAATTGATAAGTAAAAGCTCTCAACCCCCATTCCCCTCATCATACTACTACAGTAGTTCTTATAGAATTTAATGATATTCAATATTTTTATAAAAAATTATGCTCATTTTTATAAGCCTCTACCCTCCCTCCATGAAGATTAATGTCACAATTTCTTGATGTCATTTATGGATCGATCTACCGCTCTATTTGATCTCTTAAGGCAAGAATTAGCTTCGATTGTGGTGTTGATGTATGGAAGGCAAAAAGATTTGCTGGCTAGTGCAAGGGGGTGTGAGTTATTAGAAGACAAGAACCTTATTGCTAGTTGTATGAAACAGACAGTTGTATCAAGAACTTTATTGCTATTTATTTGGCTGCTAAATGTGGGAAGACAAGGACTTTATTGCTGTTGAATGAAAACTGAAAGTTGTATAAAGAACCTGAGGACTAGTATGAAAACTGAAAGTTGTATTAAGAACCTCAGTGTTAACGATTGAGCTGTCTGAAAGTTGTATTAAGAACCTCAGGACTAGTTGTATGAAAACTGAAAGTTGTATTAAGAATCTCAGTGTTAACGATTGAGCTGTCTGAAAGTTGTATTAAGAACCTCAGGACTAGTTGTATGAAAACTGAAAGTTGTATTAAGAACCTCAATGTTAGCGATTGAGCTGTCTGAAAGTTGTATTATGAACCTCAGGACTAGTTGCATGAAAACTGAAAGTTGTATTAAGAACCTCAATGTTGGCGATTGAGCTGTTGAATGTATGAGGGAAAAAAGAACCTTATTCCTAGTGCATGAAATAGAAAATTGTATGAGAAGCCTTAGTGCTAGTGCATTGTGCTAAGACAGGGGTTCCCAACCCTGTGCCCGCGGGCGCCATGCCGCCCGCTGAACAATTTGTATATGCCCGCCTCTCACTATTCGACAGAGACAGAATTTTTTTCATAAACATTATTTTAAAATATGATTTATTTTATTTCATTTCTTACAGTTTTAATTTTTTTTTTTTTTGACTGCCTAGGTTTATTAAATATGTTTGATACTTGTCCCAACTTGTCTAGCGGCGAGCCAGACTGCACTATTTACGTTTTGTAAATACATTTCTCTGTGTGTATGCAATTTGAAAAAAAATGCCAAATTATTTTATTATTTTGAAACATTTTTGTTTATTATTTATAAATACATTATGACTATAAGAACATAAGAAAATAAGAAAATAAATTATGGGAAAAAGACAAGTTATGGAAGGAGTTTGTCGATTTAAAAAAGGTGGTGCCCGCCACCCTACCGATATTTTAGAATGTGCTCTAGAGTCAAAAAATGTTGGGAACCCCTGTGCTAAGAAAACAAAACTTTAGCTTTTATGATATAGTTCTGTTGGTTGTAAACAAACACTAGCTTAAGGTTCATTAGTTTAGTAAAAAGAGTGACCTTAGCTTGGTAAGGCCTATTTCACATGTTAGGTATATAAGCTTGTAACGTATTTTGTTGTAAATAGTCATGAGAAAAAATATTCCACTTTGTATAATGAATCAAAGTATTTAATTTTTGTTTAAAATAGTATATGAAAGCTTAATATTTTAATCAATGGGCAAAATCCACAGGATTAACTGATATCTCAATTTATGTTATTATCTGTCTTATATTATAATCTGTTATAAAATTTGATGTAATCTGTTTTAAACTTTGTTATACAACTACCTTAATCTGTGAGATTTTTATGTTAAAAACTTTGATTCAATCTCTATGAAGCTGTTTTAATAATCTGTGTTGAACTTTCAATGCACCTGTTGTAATCTGCTTTAAACTATCTTAATCTTCTCTTATAGTCTTAATTTATTCTGTTGTTATGTTTGTTATGACTCTGCTTTAATCTATGTTATAATCTTTATGTTAAAACAGGTGCTAATTCAAATTGCAACAGTCCTTATTTTTTATTCTGTAATGCAAGGTACCCAATAACTGCTGACTTTGAAAAATATAAGTCTGTTTACTACTTAAATAAAAAAAAAGCTGTATAAAAAATTAGATTAGTAATAAAACAGATAGTATTAGTTACCTCACAAGTTAAAGACAGTTACAAGTACTATGGACGTTTCGACCCAAAAATTAGATGCATCCAACTTAATTTTAGTTTACTGATTGAAGATCTTTAATTAAGCTTGAAATATTTTTTTCTTACTCATATATTCAACAAAAGATATAGGAAGTTTAAAAAATACTTTTAACAAAGTAAAACATAAAAAAATAATTGTTTTTGGAAGATTCAATTTTTTGACATTTTTAGAAATGCAGTTTTTAAAAGTTTGTGAGGAACTGAGTGGTTGATAGGCAGAGATCATGACTGCTGGTAGGAGTAGGTGGGTTTAAGTACTCATTTAATAACGCTTCTGTTGATGGTATAGGATATATTCATGGGATGATGTAGGTAAAGTAGAGTGTGGCTGGAAATTGTGCTAGCCTCTCACATGGCAGAATTTTTCTGCATTATAAAATGGTCGCCAATAGGGAACTAATTAGTGCAACATTGTGTCACCAATAAGATGTCACTTTTAGAGCACTTGAGTCACCAGTGAGGCAGTAATGAGTACGTTGTCACCTGGAGGATGCCTCTGTGTCACCAATAAGGCAATATGGTGTCATGTATAGCACCTATTGTGTCACCAATTGAGACATGGCATTTCGTACAAATTGTCACTGTGTCACCTGGAGGGCGCCTCTTATAGGGCACAATGTGTCACCATTTGGGGCATATGGTGTCATGTACAAATTGTCAGTCACCTGGAGAGTGACTCTGTGTCACCAATAAGGCAATATGGTACAATGTGTCACCATTTGGCACATTGTGGCATATACAAATTGTCACCGTGTCACCTGGAGGGCACTACGGTGTCACCAATAACTGAAAAAAGGGGCAGTACTGATCACATAATACAGAAGAGCACTGGTGTGTTATTTATCATGTAGTGCACTACTGTGTCTGTCGTAAATAGTACTCAACAAACATAAGATGATGCATTATCTACTTTACAATTATTGATGCACCAACATTCGTTTTACAACCACCTTTCCTACTTTCTTATTTCGGCACTCCACCCATTTCTTATATTTACTGTGCCGTTTCTTTTACTGCACAAGTTTTTACATTACCACTAAATTTTTCTCTTTGTATTTCACTTCTGCTTTTACTTTTGTGAATTTAATTAAAAATTCTTTTCATAGTTATTTTATAGTTTTATTCTAACATATACGTTGTTATTTTGGTATGTTCTCTATGTTGCTAAATTGAGTGTGTATGGTGGTTTTTTAAATTTATTTTTAAATTTTATTTTGTAGAGTAGATTAAACTTTTTAAATTACTAATTTGTGTGCGTAGAAAAAGAAGAAAGCTTCCTTTTATTGGGTGTACCAGGTGACCATTGCTTAATGTCAAGCTCTGATCATTCTAGTCTTATCTTTGGGGTTCGTCCACAAATGACGTCATTCTCATAGGGAGGAAAGGGGGGGGGGGGAGGGGACCGTAATTTTGTGAGTGATGAATGGAGGGATTCAGATGGTGTGATGCCACACTTTTGCATTAAAAAAGTAACATTAGAAAAAGGATTTTTAGCCTTTGATTTGCGTTTTAGATAACTGTTTTAATAAATTGTAATAGAAATATTTAAAAAAAAGAACTATGTGTTAAAAATAAGTAATTAAAATGCAATTCTTTTTTTTGGGAGGGGGGGGGGGTTGTAGGATGAGGTTTGACGTCATTTTATGGGGATGGTGCGGCTTTTTGTGACATAGTGTGACGGAGGGGAAAATCGTATTAAAAAGAGTTACGTCATTTATGGATTACCCCTTTGTAACTTTGTCCAACCCAAAACCTGTAACAGAAAAAAATATCCGTTTGCTTTGTTACGAAGCACGGAAGCCGAGCAAATAGCCGACTAGTATTCCGCATTCGAACAGCACTAAAGCTGTATTTATTTTAAATTTTACGATGCTGCCTAACGAGGTGCATTACGTTGATTGTTTGCACTGTACAGAGTAATTTCCCTTGAATAAGACTTACTTCCCTTGGATTGCTGTTTGTTTTTAATGTTACATTTTACTTTTAAAATTGCTTTTATACGATTACTTTACCAGTAAAAATAAAATCGCAGATGAAATAACTAAATTGAATTTTTTTTTTTACATTTTGCAGTGTCTGTTCCATTTCGAAAATGGAAGTGCAAATTGTTTCTTAAAAAAAAAAATGCCATTTTATATTTTATTTCTTAAACGTCGTTGCGGTCTTCCTTCATTTCCCCACTACACTGTTCTGTCTGCTATCTAAAAAAGAAA